TGGATATTTAGCTCAGACAAAGGAAACTTAAGTCCACACAAAAACCTGGACACTATTGTTCACCACAATTTTATTTGTAATCAAAGCTCAAACTGGAAACAACCAAAATTCAACCAATCCTACAATGGATAAATGGTTAAACTGTGGTGCATCCAATCATGGGGCCTCTTCCTCAATAAAAAAGGACTACTGACTGATACATTGCAACCACTTAGATGAATCACCAAGGCATCATGCTGAGTGGAAAAAATCTCAAAAGAAGTATACTTTATTACATGTTTTCGCATCCATAACATTTGTGACATGATAATGATTATAGAGATGGAAAGCAGATTAGTGGTTGCCAAGGAATGGTGGGGGTGGGGGTGGCTAAAGCGAGGCAGGGGAGAGGTCTTTGTGGTGAGAGCAGTTCTGCATCCTGAGGCGTACAAACTTTGGGCTAACATGTTTCCTGGTTTTCAGATTATACTACAGCTATGCAAGGTGCAGCCAATGGGGGAAACTGGAGAAACAAATCAGCAAGTAACATGTAACGACACGAAATGTAAATGCAAATGAGCCTATATATAGCTGGCATATCTGCGCAGGGGAAAAAAATGCTAATCTAAGTAAAAAATTTTAAGTTTTATTAAGGTACTATTTACTTACAATATAATTTACCCATTTTATGTATACAATTCAATTTTTAAGTTTACAGTTACATTTACTAAATTTTATTTTATTTTAATGTTTATTTTTGAGAGAGAGAGAGAGAGTGCACAAGCAGGGGAGGAGCAGAGAGAGAGAGGGAGACACAGAATCTGAAACAGGCTCCAGGCTCTGAGCTGTCAGCACAGAGCCCGATGCAGGGCTCGAACTCACAAACCATGAGATCATGACCTGAGCCAAAGCTGGACGCTCAACCGACTGAGCCACCCCGGCGCCCCTATTAAATTTCAAATAAAACTGAATTTACTGCAATGCAGTTATAAAACATTTCCATAACCCCCAAAGGATCCCTCTAGTCCATATACATGCAGTTCCCTCCCCCACCCCAATCCTCCTTTCCCTGACAACCACTAACTACTTTCTGTCTCTATGGATTGGCCTATTCTGAGCATTTGATATAAAAAGAATCACACAATATGTGACTTTTGTGACTGCCTTCTCTTTTACTTAGCATAAGGTTTTGAGGTTCATTCATGTTTCAGCATGTATCAGAGCTTTGCTCCTTTTTACGGATGAATACTATTGGACTGTCTGGGTATACCATATTTTGTTATCCAGCCGCCGATGGATACGGTCTAGTGCCTTGAGTGTGCTGGTCAATGTTCTAAGTGTAGGGGTTAGCTGGGGAGGAGAGACAGGATCCCTGCTCCAGCCCAGCTTTATTTGTGTGGGGAGGACCAGCCCTTCAGAGCATAATTCCTGTGAAGGAAACGGTGTGTGTCAGTGGGAGGGGCTGCCATTTAATCAGGTCATTCATTCATTCATTCACTTAATAAGTGGCCTACTGTATTCCAAGCGCTATTCTAGACACTGTACACAATCCCCGCTCTCACGGGCACTTACGTCCTATCAGAGAACCGGACAACAGAAATACAAGACAGGAAGTGAGGAGTTCAGAAAAGGGCAAGGTGAAGGAACAGTGTGGAGGCATGCTATTTCTAGACGGATGGTTTAGGAAGGCCCCCAGATGAGTTTGAGCAAACACATGAATGAAGTAAGGAGACACGCAGGTCACCGTGGGAAGTATTTCAGGCGAGGGAACAGCAAGGAGAGCCGCATGTTCCAAGGTTTCTTTGAGGAAGTCATAGTTGAGCTGAACTTGCATGACAAGGAGGCAGGCATGGAAGGGTCTGGAGAAGAGCTTTCCCCGGAGAGGAATCAGCGCATCCAGAGTGGGAGGGGGTCTGTGATGGGGCTGAGGGAGCAAGCTGCATAGGGTCTGCCAGAGAAGTGGGAAGACACTGGTGGGTTTCAAGCTCACCGTCTTCAGAAGAAGACAAACACATGAGAAAAAATGAGAAGTGCACACACAAGGCTTAACAGAGAGACAGTAAGGAGCGTCCCCCGTGCCTCAGGGAAGATGCCCAGTAAAGTGACGTCTTTGTCTTTGTCCGTGCACTCAACCACCAGTCTACCAGGCAGCCGGCAACCATGAGATGCTTGCCCACATCACATGTTTTGGCCAAGTATACAACAGTGAAAAAGACGGGAAGATCCCTGCCCTGGACTCTCGGAGGGGGAGACAGACAGTAAGCAAACGTTTACTTTTCGGTAATGCAGGCACCAGGAAGGACACCCAGCAGGCTAACACCAGAACGGCGGGCCACAGGGCTGCGTGCGGTGGGGTGTCCAGGGAGCACCCTCTGAGAAGTGCGTCTGAACTGAGGGATGGGAAGGGGTCACCGTCTGTGCTCTGCAGCCAGGGTCACTCTTAGAGGGTCCGGGTATAGGAAGGCCCTGTAGGTGGGGTGGGCAGAAGGGGAGATTTTCTGGGGGTGGGGCGGGGCCACCCAGTGCCAGGGCCTCCTGGGCCACGAGATTGTTATTCTTTGCTGTGTAACAAGCCACCCCAAAACATAGTGGCTTTAAACAACTATATTAGTTCTCACAGTTATACTGGTTGGGTGCAGCGGTGTGCTGGTGTTCTAACAAAAATGACATGACCTTGATTTGTAGCATTTACCAGTTTCCACGGTGTGAATCCTCTCCCAACAGGGCAAATTCCCAGCTACCAACATGAGGTCCACAAACGGGCAGGCGGGCAGGGATGTGCACCATTGCAGAGAACCTACACCATGCAGATACACCGATGCAAACACCCACAAGAGACACGATGGTCAGGCAGAGGAAATCCACTGGGAAGGGGGGGGGAGTCCTGAGTGCTCATTACCTTTGTTTCTAACATATCTTATGAATTCCAAACTTGTATGATTTTTAAATGGCTGTGTTTAGGTTACTAGCTCACAACATTGCTGAGGCCAGAACAATTATCTCCTGGGAGCTGGCGAGGCAGCTCTTCTGTAGGTCACTGTGGCTCGTGGTGTGGCTGGCCGCCCTTCAGAATGGAGTCCCCCTCATGCTCCCCTCAATAGCTGGGACAGTGGCTGACAGCAGGAAGGGAATGCACATGGCTTAGCTGTGCTGTGCTTTTGCTAACGCCCAGAGAGGACAGAGCGACACAGGCCCGACTGGGCTAGACTCTAGTGCATCAGGGACCTTGGAATTAATTCTGTAGGGAGCCGTGAATATCAGCACGAGTGTGCCTGGGCTCCTCCATGTGCCCTCCCTCCCAACAAGCTGGCATCTCCAGGGGGAGTAACTGAGACCCACCCAGCCCGATTCCCATTAGGGACAGGCCTGGGCAGGCTGAGGTCTGGCCTGCTGGGTCTAAGCCCCAGAGCTGCTGTCCAGCATCCAGTCCTTCCTGGTGACAAGCCTCGATGCTCCCCTTCCTCTTGCCTGAGGCCACCCCACCTGCCTATGGAGTGCTGACTGCCAGGTGGGCGAGAGGCTCTGGTCTGACCCACAGTGATTAGGTCAGGGGTGGGTTTCCATTTGAACCAGTGGGGAAGTTCACCCGCTTCTGCTTGCTGGAGGCTGAGGTCTGAGCTGCTGCCATAAACAGAGGGAGATGAGGGTTCCCGCGTGGTGTTCTGTTTCCTGCATCCAGCCACATTGAAGCCAGATCGATGCTGGGCTTTCTAAATCCGGTCAGCCCCCAATTCATTTTCTCCCTCCAACCTGGAGGCTGGCTTCCTGCTGCTGGTGTCCCTCATGGCCGTCTGGGTTCAGAGCTGGGCTTCTCGGGGCCTCCTCTCTGCGGGCTGCATGCCAACCCTGTCCACCTCCCCTTTGGTTTGGTCGCTTCCCGGGGTGCAATCTGCCAACATCCCTCTGCTGCTCTCACATCTGGACCCGTGACTCTGACCCCGTCAGCTCTGCTGGATTCTTGGCTGCACCCAGTAAGGCCTCCACAGGACCAACTCCTCCCCTCACAACTCGGACCCACAGGCCAGGACAGGCTGCCCCTTGGAGGGTGCACCACAGATGGGGATATGGGCAGAGCTGGCCCCTCTTCTGACGGGGGCACCAAGGCACCAGAGGGACGCAAGTCTGGGGATGGGCTGAGTGAGGCTGTGGGAGGAGGAGGGGGCAGGCAGCAGAGACCCAGCTGGGCCTGCTCCAGGCCGGGGCCAGAGTACCTGGAGACAAGCACATGGGAGTCCCCAGCTGGCCACTCACCCGAAGCAGACTGTGCCAGGACACCCGCAGCCGGGCTCCGGCCCAACTGTGAGCCTGCTGTTGGGCGGGTGGGAAGGTGTAGACGAACAAGAGTCATAAAGACATCATAAATACACGGCCACCCAGGTCTGTAAAACATCCCATAGAGTAACTGCCCTGGTCCCAACCCGCCCCTCCCCCGACGAGTCAGAGCAGGCCAGCTCTGTGCCGACCTCCCGTACTCACTAGGAAGGAGGAGCCCAAGCTCCGGCAGAGCCAGCCCTGCACTGCGGACCCAGCAGCCCAATGTGACAGGTCCCCTCCCCTTCACAAGGAGCCACTATAGACCAAGTGAAGTCACAGCCTCTGCTTAAACCTAGGCTTACAGAGCTGGAATATCCCTAAGGAGCCACATCTTTGTTCTAACTTTGCAGGAGAGAAGGGAGTGATGAGACGTCGCCCTCTGATGTGGAGGGCAGGCCGCGGTCCCGTGCAGGCTGGGCCCAGGACTTAGACACGAAGCCACAGCTTCAACGTGTGACCAGAAGGGTGTCACTTGGGGCTGCTGGATCCAAGAGATCCTACGCCTCTCCCCTTTTCCCAAGTACTCAGACCTGGGCCCCGACCCCGGGTCCCCCACGCCTGCAGGCCTCGTTCCAGCCACCTGGCTCATGTGAGTGAGGCTGCAGGTGCAACTCTCATGAGCGGGGAGTCAGTAACCAGCGGCGCCGGCAGGCTGTCCCCCATGATGGGAAGGAGCACATCGCAGCCAACACACGGACGAGCGCGTAGGGAGAGAAACAGACACGGCTTGTTTATTAGAATGCGGGAAGGAGGCCTTTTCCACAAACAGCGCTGCTTCTCAGAGTCTGTATCAAGAGCAAGACAACAGTTGAAAATCCTATTCCTGAGAAGAAGCGAAAAGTTACAATTTTGCAAACAAAAATAACAGATGATTTCAACAAACGATAAAAAACTTTTTTTTTTTTTAACAAAGAACAAAATTTCAAGTATTATTCCAGATGACATGGCAAACCCAATGACGGAGACGAGGTCTCACTGGCAAAGGTCCCTGGCGCTCTCGGGGCAGGGGCCGCTCCAGATGGGCTGGGGCACCCCAGGGCTGAACCGGCCCGGCAGGGAATGGAGAAAGACCATGGGGCAGCTCAGCAGGGCCTGTGGCTGTGCCCACGGAGTGGGAAGCGGGCAGCAGGGCTCTGCTCCACGGCGGCTGAGGGTGGAAACAACCCACCTTATGCCCTCCTGGGACAGGGCCACGCACCTAACACTGGGGATCTAGGGTTAGCGGTTCCGGACATCTGATTTTTTTCCTTTTCGTAATAAACAGAAACACATGTTTATTCCTTCAAACACCCTACTATCCCAATTTTAGTCAATTTGTAAATTATATATTACTTGTGCTACAGTTTGTGATAAATCTTACTAAAAGATCAGCACCAAACCTCTTACAAATAGAAACGCCCACGAGTCGTGGCTGTCCCCGAAGCAGGGCTGTGGCTGTGCCCGCAGGCTGTAAGCCTTTGCCCCCTTTCCCTTCAACAACAGGACGTTTCTGACAGACTTTCCTTTTCCTCCCATGAGAGCTTTCTTGAAGAGAGACGTCTGTCTTAGCCACAGTTTTGGGAAAGGTCCAAAGAGCAAACCTGAACGTCGTTGTCTGAGCGCGAGGGGGCGGCTGACAGTGGTTCTTCTGGCTGACGTGCTCTGGTGGCCCCAAGGCCAGAGGAGGGGCTGTTCATGCCACCCCAGGCCTCCCAGGCCACTGGGGTAGGGGGCTCTCGGCAAGAGGGTCTCACGCCACAGAAGAAAAAGCCACGCTACAGTGCCGGACGTAGAGACCCCCAGCTTCCCCCATCCCCGCCGGGGGGCTGTAAAATGCCCTGAAAATGTTTGTATCCGGTATTTTCTGAAACACGCTGTCGCTGACTTCCACTACCCCCACGCCACCTTGGTGCCTCCTAGATACTCAGTTCTTGAACCTTGTCTGTTCACAGATATGATTGAATTTCCTGCAGGGACAAAAAGTCGAATTACACAAGCCAGCATCAAGAAGCATTCCGATAAGCGACTCTGGAGATCACACGCTGGAGAAGCCTGATGAGAAACTGATCGCACGTGCGGGGTGGCTCACAGCAGCAGGGTCTGATCCATCAAAGATATTAACCCCTAGACAGCCTTCTTGTCCTTCTTAAGGTTTAGAAGCCAGACATTTGATTTTTACTTTTTAAAATTCAAGCACCTTAGGTAACTTTCTTAGGGAAGAGACTCAGAGTTGTGCCTCCTCAGAATCCCCCAGTCACCGAGGGCCACCCCGCAGGGCAGAACCAATAGACTTGCCCAGTGGGTGCCAGAGCCACCACCTCCCTCTTTGTGACGAGCAGGTCACCCCCAGAGTAGGACGCACATGCCCTAGCTATCCTTATCCCTGTCTTTATTAAGAAAGAATGGCTAGTTACTAGCCAAATCTCTTTCTCTAAAAGGAAACGGTCTCCTGGACTCTGTCTATGCTCAAATACAAAGCCAGGTTTTTATTCCACGGGATCAGTCCTCCAGGGAGCCTTCACTTGGAGCCTTGTCCCCTGCAAGAAGGGCATCCTCTCAGTAACTGTGATTTGAACCACAAGTGACTGGGGATCACAGTAGCCTCAAGAAGCATCAATCCATGAGGTTGATTTATAGGACACCTCACTTACGGTTTGAAAATGCAGACAAACTTACGTCCGCAGACGAACCCGTGTGGCAAAGCGGACGTCACTGGGAGCGGGAAATGCCCAGTGAGAGCCGCCAAGTTAGAGCTATCACAGACATGTGCTCGCGGCACCAAACACAGACTCAGGGCAGCGGCACACGCCCAGGCCGGTGGTTCAGGAAGTTCTCAGTGACCACGGCCACGGATTCACAAAGTACTAACCCTCCAGTGTGTCAGCGGGAACGACAGCTGTGTTCCACAGACTCAGAGGTAAACGTCTGCATGCAAACGCTTCACGAGATGAGAACAGAAGAGCAGGGTTTTGAAACAACACTAGGGCTGTATACAAACAGAACTAAATGACTATGTTTACGAGTAAGCAGTTAACTGGTTCGTACAGATCTCTAAAAGCCGTGGCGTCAACTTGGCCAAAACACTTAAAAGAAAAAACTCGCCTTCCTGTTAGGAAAAAGAGGGTCTGCTTTCTGCAGGAGGCCCATTCTGGCGCCCTCCCCAGCCCTGGGTGCCTGTGCCCCACCCACAGTGTCTCACTCACATTGCGTGGTGGGCCTTCACCTGAGTGCGGCAGTTGCGGCCCCAATAGCAGTCAGGACGGGATGTTACAGCCACTGGGGAGAGAAAAAGTCACGTGTACGTAGTAACACCCGACACTCACAAACTCAGCTAAGCCAACTTAAGTAAAGACCCAAAGAAAGAAACTACAGCTATAGCATTTTGTCACGCTTTATAACTAGTTTCCTTGCCTGTTCCAAGCTTCCAAGGGGGGGAAAAGTTTACCTAAAAACCCACCTTAGGAAATAAAGACTACTACACTTGCCTATAGGTTGTTTTTGTGAATCCTGTTTTAGAAACGTGTGTCGCGGCCCACGGGCCCAGAGCCTGAGCCAACTTGGGGTCGAGGACAGCCTGGGAATAAGCATGGCCGCCAGGCAGCCCATCTGCCCAGTCTTCTCCCTGCTGGTGCAGACACCCACTGAGAACGCAGATGCCCATCTAGACTAGACAGAACTGAGGCAGGGGGTGAGGGGCTTCCTTACCTGGCAACTCGGAAGCAGGAATGTTCTGCCGATACTGGTAGGTCAGCTCTCGGAAGCTTCTCAGGCCACAGCAGTAACAGAGCACAGTGTTCCCTGTGATTCTGTAATCTGGAAGGACACAGCCTCATGTGGGCATGCCAGTCATCAGGCAGCATCATGTTTCCAGAACAGCAGAATAGCTGTGGCCTTGTAAACTAGTGGGAAACCAGTGCACTGATCCGTAAATGGGGTAGAGACAATGGGCCAGACTTTCAGAAAACAAGAACAAAACCAATCTCGATACCAACTTATTTCCTCACAGCAAAATAATTCCACTTGGATAAAAAATTCAAACGCTTTAAAAATCCAAAAAAGTAGGGGTGCCTGGGTGGCTCGGTCAGTTCAGTGTCCAACTCTGGATTTTGGCTCGGTCATGCCTTGAATCCAAGCCCCACATGGGGCTCTGTGATGGCGGTGTGGAGCCTGCGTGGGATTCTCTCCACCCCTTCCCCCGCTCAAGCATGCGCCCCCGTTCTCTAAGTAAATATATAAGCTTAAAAAAATAGAGCATTTAAAAAAAATTTTTTTTATGTTTATTTTTGAGAGAAAGAGAGAGACAGAATGAAAGCAAGGGAGGTGCAGAGAGAGACGGAGACAGAATCCGAAGCAGGCTCCAGGCTCCGAGCTGTCAGCACAGAGCCGGACATGGGGCGCAAACTCACAGACTGCGAGATCATGACCTGAGCCAAAGTCGGACGCTTAACTGACTGAGCCACCCACGAGCCCCCAAAATAGAGCATTTCTAAAAAAATAGTAACACTAAAAATAAAAATCCAAAAAAGTACTGAGAGGAATGAGTATTATTTTTCTCTTGAGCTGTTTATGTCATAAAAACCAAATAGCACACAGGAAAGGATCTGTAAATCTGACTACCTACAATGTAAACACCACAATGGAAACAAATACAACAAAAGCGAGATACTAATAAAATAGTGGAAAACACATTTGCCACACAAGCAACCATATGTTGCACCTTTAATGACAAAGATATCCTACCAACCCATGCCCCCAAATCCAAATAGACTAACGTAAGTATGGGCCAAGGTCACAGACAAGCCAATGAACCATAAAGCAAAAAGATCTTCAATTCTGCTAATACCCCAACACAGGCAGATAAACCAATGATACATCCCAGTTGCCTTGTCTGTATTTACAGGCGAAGGCAGGGCAGATGGACTCAGGAAGATGCTGAGGCACGTTCTTCTGGGAGGGACAGCGAATATGGCAAAGTCTCAACTGTTTGTTCATACCACCGTCCAACAATTTACTTACTTACTGTTTACTTATTTACTCATGTATTTATTTACTTAATTTATCTTGATGGAACAACTTTTCTAGCCTACCATCCTGCAGGCTCAGAGGCTGCAGTGCTTATTCAGACAGTGAAACGTGGAGAATAACCTAAATATCCTATATTAATGATTTGGTTAAATAAACCATGATACAAAATACTATAGAACAAAAATCAAGGTAGGGGCGCCTGGGTGGCTCAGTCGATTGAGCGTCTGACTCTCAATTGCAGCTCAGGTCATGATCCCGTGGTTTCATGAGCTCAAGCCCTGAGCTGGGATTCTTGGGATTCTCATTCTCCCTCTCTCTCTCTCTCTGCCCCTCCCCAACCTGCACTGTCTCTGTCTCTCTCAAAATAAAGAAACTTGAAAAACAATCCAGGTAAAGAACTTCGCTGACATAGAAAGGGTCTGGGGAATACCACCGAGTGAAGAGCACATGTGGTAGGGTTTCATCTATGAGGACTCTGACCGTGCCCACGTGTGGCAGGTGCACAGGCCATATGGCATCATCACTGGGTCCTCGGGGGTGGGATTCCCTGTGATTTTTGCTTTACCCACCATGCTTCACTCACACGTCTTTCTGGGCCATGCCACCATGGCAGTCCCACCAAGAAGCTAAAGAGAGCTCAGGCCCGCATGTCAGACCGGGTGCCCCCAGGACCGAGGCTGCACAGAACCCGAGACACTCGTGAGCACGTAGCCACTCAGAAGAATTCCCAGAAGCCTCTGAAGTCTTTCACAATAATTTATGTCTTAGGAAAAAAAGTCATTTGTTGATTTTTCTGCACCCTCCCCGAGTGACTAAAACCACATTTCACAATGTCCCGGGTGCCCCTGGGAGACAGGCCAAGCCTGCACCAACACATCAGTGCAAGGCCTACGAGGACCCTGAGGGCTTGAGAAGCACCGGACCCAGGACCCGAAAGATGCCAAGAGGTGGGGTCACAGTCTCTTCAGCTGTGTGCCTTCCTCCCCCACGGCAGAAAAGAGCCTAGAATGTGTCACGTGGGCTCAAATCCTGAAGTACTGGCGCCTGTCTGCCACCCACCGCCAGGGTGGGTGGAGGGTGAGGGCGTACACGCGGGAAGGCAGCCCGGAGGCTCTCCTCCGTAGTGGAGGCAGAGGGGCCACCGCAAACACACTGCTGCACCAGACAGAGGAAGGCAGGTGTGATGGCGCTTACCAGACAGCAGGAACACTCCCCTCTGCAGAGCCACGAGACTTTCAGTCAACATGTTTTTCCACGTCAAACCCCTGGTTGCCAGGTAATTCTGGGATGGGGAAAGAAGGGAAATCTTAGAAATACTAGCTTGGAGAACAGAAGACTAAAATGACAAGAAAGCAAACGTTTCATGAAAGGCCCTTGAACGCGGGCAAGGCCACGGCACAGGCAGGCTAACCACGGCAGGAATTTGCATCAGGCAGTTGTGAGGCCTTCCAGGACCGCAACACACGAGGACCAGGATGCCCGGGACCCGGCAACACGCTCACAAGCTAGTCTGCAAGGGCTCTCTTCCCACATGGCTCTGTCAGAGCCTCAGAAGGAAAGCTAGCTTCCGAAAGCTGAACACACGAGCTACCACATTCTCTCCAAAATCCTGCAGACGCTCCGAGCACAGGAGCGGGGCGACACCCGACCTTGGCCGGGGAGGCTCTAGTGTGGCAACAGCCGCACGACCACACGGTAAGGAAGCTGAGGCTTTGCATCTACACCCTGGCCTCAGCTCTCTTGTGTGGACCTACAAGAGAGCAGCACGTGGACATCTAACCAGAGCACGCGGTGCCAAGGGGCCTGCCATACAGGTCTGGCGTGTGCAACGCTGCATACATGGGAGAGAGGCACAACTCTCACCAAGAGAATGATGTGCACGTTAAACACTGAAATTCTAAGAGCCACGTCAGCTTCAGCTTCCTAAGACGCGAGAAGGACAAAGTCAGAAAAGAGGAAGCCAGAGAGAGGCCCGGGTTCCGGCAAAGGGCCGCCCCGGCCCCCACCCAGACCCCAAAACTCTGCGTGGGGCACACAGGCACCGGAGCCATGGCGTGATGGGCATGAAGGAAATAACCTCTTGGAAGACAGGAACACATGGGAAAACACCAATGTGGTGAGCTCGGCGGCAGGACTAGTCAGAGCCACTGGGAGAGCTGAAAGCCTCCTGGGGGCCTCTTCTAGGCCTGAGCCCCCACCCGCGCCTGTACGTGAAGTCCCCTACCTTCAGGATGTCCGACTCATAGTGATTATTGCTGAGAACCCCGTCCAGACACCTGTCACCCAGGTCCAGCTCTGCCAAATGGAAGGAAGCAAAGTCACCGTCTTACAATCTATGAAAGTATTGTTCACCGACAGCTAAGATAACCAAATTTCCTTTCTTACGGTCCAGAAAGAATAAAAGCTTCCATTGTAAAATATGGTTTTAAAAAGAGAACAAGTAAAATGACTTCTGACAGCTTTCTCCGTCCCCTGGGCACCTGGTCTGGCACTGTGAGGTCTGAATGCTGCAGCCAGGCGATGTTTTTGTTGGTGGTGTTCCTCGCACATAAGTAAACCCTCCTGACTGAGCTCAGTATCCCCGTAGTTGTTACTGCCTGGTTTTGAGCTAGCAGAGGGACACTTCTAAATGTCAAACACAGGGGGCGCCTGGGTGGCTCAGTCTTGGCTCAGGCCAAGATCTCAAGGTTCACAGGATCAAGCCCCATGCTCATGCGGGGCAGAGCCTAGCTGGGATTCTCTCTCTCCCTTCCTCTCTCTGCCCTTTCCCTGCTCTTGTATGCGCACTAAGTAAATAAATAAACATTTAAAAAAATGTCAAACGTGTATGAGAAGCAGGTCATCGACGGTGGCCCCTCTCAAGTCGGGCCACGCTAGCCCACCAGCACCCTCAAATGCAGCAAGAGGATAGGCAGAGAGCTGAAGTGCCGGCATTACCACAGAACGGGGCCAGGCAGCCGAGACAGCCGGCCCGGGCGCAGCCCCAGTACAGGTGGCAGAAAGGCTGCAGGCAAACGGCACCTGTGGACACAGCACAAGCACCAGTCAGGCCATTTCGGCGAGGAGTAAATTCACATAACCATTAAATAAATGGAAAAGTCCATGTTAACAGCAATCCCAGAGTTGCAAATCACAGCACTGTATTTCATCTATTACATTCAAGAGTGACACGTTATGAAAATATGATGCTCCTGATGCGGCAACAAAGGTCAGAGGCAGCCTCCAGAAGGAGAACCACCCATACATGGAAACTCGGTGAATGAAGGGGTGGGTCATCAACTGACAGGAAAAGATGGTCATTCGATGTGGCTGCACACACAACTGAGTACGCAGATGAGGAAACAGACCCACATCTTCACAGCACACCACACACACAGTCAGCAACGCTCTGAAACCTGACCCTAGAAGGACGCAGGAGAGGCTCTGCGGTGGGGAGGCCGCTCAGGCAGGCAGCGTCCGTGCACACCCTTACTCACACTGCTGGGGGGCGATGCGGGGGTCCTGCTCACGTTCTGCCCTCCGGTCGGGCATGGGCTGGAAGCAGCAAGTGCAGATGGCATGGCTTCCTTGCAGGGCACACACGTAATCCTGGGCTGCGGAACAGACAGGATATTCAGGCCGCGTACATCAGGACACAGGCAGAAATAGGAGATTCGATGCACGCCTAGGGACGTGGCTGGAAGGTCCACAAGGAGACAGATCCACAGGAAAACCCAGGGAGAACTCACACCCGTTTTCTGAAACTACAAAACGGTAGTCTGCCATTTTTTTTTTTTTTTAACGTTTATTTTTGAGACAGAGAGAGACAAAGCATGAACGGGGGAGGGTCAGAGAGGGAGACACAGAATCTGAAACAGGCTCCAGGGTCTGAGCTGTCAGCACAGAGCCCGATGCGGGGCTCGAACTCACGGACCGCGAGATCATGACCTGAGCCGAAGTCGGCCGCTTAACCGACTGAGCCACCCAGGCGCCCCGGTAGTCTGCCATTTAAACGACACATTTGAAATAGAATGAAAAATAAACAAACGTGATACTTCAGTTCAGCAGTTATAGCAAGATTTCAAAGATCACTTGAAGGTTTTCTACCATTTCCTTGGGCCATAAAGCACATGCCATAAAACAATAGAGCAAGTTCTATATTTAATCTCTGTCTCTTCCAAATAAACAGGTGGCAGGCCTGGGGGCCATGACTGGCTGACCTCCACCCCCCCAACAGCTGTGTCCACACAGCTCAGCCACGGCCACTCAATGACCACACGGGAAGCTCTGTCTATGCACGCACACCTGCTATAGGCCCATCCCACTGGGGACTTCCAGTCTGAAAATGACACCGCACCTTCGGAATGGCAGAGTCGGGAGGCAACCAGGCCCCACCCTGCCCATCTGTCCACGGGCCACCCATGGAGAGAGCTGCAGCACCGCATCAGGGTGCATGGCTCTGAACATGGCTTTGGGTCATGATCCTGAGTCAGTGGCCTCATGACAGGCTCAGGCCCACATCAGCTAAGAAACTGGGCCCTACTGAAGAATGGCCAGGGCCAAAAACATGGATTCCACATGTTCTCTCTCCCTTTCTCAATGGCACCTGAGGACCCGCCAGTGGGCAGAGCTCAGGGTGGCTCTGATGACACAACAGCCTGCTGTCGAAAAGAAGCCAGGCTCTCACTGAGGGGCGCATGTAGGGGTCATTTCAGCTTTAGCAAGCAGCCCTGGGGATGCCAAAGCCCAAAGCAGTGGGCTGGGGGTCTGTGTCAGAATGAGGAATGAACCCCCCGGGAGGGCCCAGGAGCAGAGATCCACGAGAGATCAACTTAACTCTCTCTGGTTTCTGAACCCACAACAGAGTACAAGCAGCAACAAGGTAGGAGAGGGTAGGACAAGGGAGGCAGTGACCGGAGCGGGGTGGGAGCGGGGGAGGAGCCAGAAGGAAAAAAAAAAATACG